ATTCGAGTTCACTTGAGTTTACATGACATTTTTCTTTTTGAAAGAATAGTTTTCTTCCTTCTCAAGAACATTTCTTTGAGCATTTTCTGATGACACTATGTCATTACATGTATTTTGCCAAAGAAACTGCGAGAAACAAGTCAAAGATGACCAAATTTGAAGAATAATGGTCAAAGAATGACCAGGGATAAGAGACTTCTAGTAGATATTAGTGAGATATACACCAAGGAATTTTGTATAGTGGTTTTGTTAATTCGTTGATATCACTCATGTCATACATCGAACATCAACAAGGGAGAAATAGGGGATTCAGTACAAAACCTGACCGTTTTCATATTATTGATAGAACAACAGTTACCTTTCTCATAATTAAAACTCGAAACCCCCTTTAGTACTTTCTAAACATCGCACAAGATTTGACAAGATTTGTCTAGTTAAACACCAGTCTCTATGGATACAATATCTTTTTATTACTTCGATAATATCAATACACTTGCCGAGAAGTCGTCATTTTCCTTCTCCAAAACAAATCTTTTCATTCCGCATTTAATCTCTACATTCTTTGTCAGATTCTACTATCTCTGAGTATCCTTCTTGCCCTAAACTTATTTCATAGTTTCCAGTATTTACTTTACCATGGCTAATATAAATGACCGTTCCATAAGTCCGTCTATAGATTCTGAGAGTAGTGGTTTTCCTCTTAGTCAGGGTAGAAACATCTTATAGCTCAGATTCCCATCGCCCAATTAACAATCATTCAATTCCACTCATTGTAATTGTGTTTGATAATTCTGAGTCTGGGAGGTTTTCTAGTTGTTCTATTGATAGAGAAACTTCCTTTAATGCGTCTTCCTTTGACCCTCTTCTTTTTGATGAGGATGTGGAATGTGATCACACGTCAGTTCTACGCCTGCTCATATGTAGTTGTAGGATATTTAGCCTCCCCACTTTGTTTACCCTAGAGATGGAGGTCACTGCTTTGAACAAGGAAGAGGTCTAAAATTTCATCAAGACTTACCACACTATTTATGGTCGGGATCCAAGTGATTCAAGATTAAGGATCATATGGAACGTGGAACTTAGTCTGAGGGTGTCAATTGCCTCAAGCACTTCAAGATCTTGCGGGCTAATGATATATCGATGAGGGGCATCACACTAGTGGAGCTGGTTGGTGCCAACAAGTATCTTTAGGTGGACCCCGAGATATCGAGAAATCCTTATGCTCTAGGTGATGATGTGATCGTGATAGGGACTAACATTCAAGTTGGTTGTCCCTCTGATTAGTCGATTCTCTATATAGAATCAAGCAAAAGGATGTATAGCAGCTTTGAGGAGTGTTCCATTCCTTTCTATAAATGAATGTTCACCCGAATAAACATGTGATTGCCTTTATCCGAGTTTAAAGTGGCTGTGTTGAGGTTTTTGAAGGTTTCCCCCTTGCAGCTCCATCACGTGGCATGGGTTTATATAAATTCGTTCCAATTCTGGGCCGAGTATTGGTCTTGGAAACCCTCATGTTGTTTTTTTTCATCTTTTTGTTGTGATAGATACCTCTAGGTATAATGTTCGAGATCAAGGGCTCATCATGATACGTCAAGAAGTTCCTCCATTTAGCCTTTTTTTTAGAGTGAAGGTGATTTTTGAGAGAATTTCGTGTTGGTGAAGCCATGTTTATACGTGTAAAAATGTAGTTGTTTTGTATATACTTTTTGTTGAAATTATCGACTCTTTGTTGTTAATATCAGTTGAATAACCCTGCTTTTTATTGTAAATACGTTTAATTGCGTTTTGAGTATATATTATATCAGTTGATTAGTTTTGTATATGTTTTGTAGGTATTTGATCATGATAGGAGCAATGAGGAATAAAAGCTCCAAGATGCATTTTTGGATCAATAAAGGAATAAGGCGAAAGATTGGAGCCATTGGAAGTTATGCAGGAAAGCAACAGAAGTTGTTGGACTATCATGGATCTCCAGACAAAAGTTCATGTCGCTGAGCAAAATTTGTAGGCCAAATTTTCTTGTTGCTTCTGCCTAGTATCCTCGGGCGATGTGTATCTGTCGTCGGGCGAGGGAAATATATTTTCCCCAGTTGCATGTATGGCACAACTTGGGCCAAGTGTATAGAAGTCATCCTCGGGCGACGTGTTTGTGTCGTTGGGCGATGGTCGCAGATCAGAATTTTCTTTATATTTCCTTTTCATTTCATTTGGAGGGGATGGTTTTGGGGGTGAGTTTTTTGTTCTCCCAACTCCATCAACCTCATTTTTATAGTGGATTAGCTTAGATAACAACACTAGGGCTTTGCTTATGGGTGATTGGAGGTGGATTTCTCATTGACTGGAGCTGACAAATCGGAAGATTTGTGGTTCATCTCTTCTCCTCTCTATGTATTTCTCTTTTGTTGGATTTTGTATGTACCTTACTTTGAACTTATGTATATTTGTCTCCCATGGTGTTATATTAAACTTGCTTTACAAATCTTTGTGAATTGTTATCTTAGATTTTTGCTCTGTCATAGGGATTTGAGTTGTTATAGACATATACTGCTTAGATTCTTATCTAAGATGATTATCTGTTAGTTTATGAACTCTAGAGATAGATTTAGAACTAACATCTACTTGGGTATCAGAATTTAATGCCTCTGTGTGGTTGTGTTGTGCTGAGAGATCGTCAGTGCGATTATATAGTTGTCTTCTGTGTTGTTGAGGAGGTAGAGAGATCATTTCCTTGGTGATACAGTCGATCTCTCAATTTGGATTAGAAATGACTTAGACTGTGAGTGATACGTAGTGACATTGATGAGTAGTGTTAGGTTGAATGTAATTGGTCGATAGATTTAAGTCTGTGATGAGTAGATTATATGCAAGCTTGATAAGTTCTTCCTTAGTTTTTACTTTTATTTACATTTATTTTCTGTTGATACTTTTCTATACCATTCAAACCCCAAACTTATTAACGAATGATTTGTCGAACGACGATTCAATAACCAATCTCTGTGGACACAATACGATATAACCTATATCACCCGGTAAATTAAAAACTTACTTTTTTCTTTCTGCTATACCGCTGCAACACATGTACTCTGGAAGCCCACTCCACGTTATGTTATGTTTCTAATGGATCTTCTTGTTTGTGCACAAATATGTTTCAAAAATATTGGACTTGGGTCCATTTCAAACGTGTACCTCATGCATATGTTGTTTGTCCATATTCTCTCCCTCATTAAGATATTACGATGAAGAAATATCTAGGCACTTTTTAGTGGAATTTCAGATATAAAGAGAGTTTTTGTCCTACTGAGGTGAAGACCCCTCTATAAAGGAAATAGTCCATTGATACATGTGTTATCATGGGCGTGATCAGTAGTCAGGAGAGGAAGGGGATTTTTAGTGAGAATAAGGTCATCCCTTTGAAGTAATTTTCTTTGAAATGAGTGTTTGATATTTGTATATAAAGTGGATTCTAAAATTAATTCTTTGAGGAAGGTCTACAATATTACTAAAGAGCGAGAAGCGCGAGGCGTTAATTTCTCTCCTACAACTCGGATCGTCATTCCTCCTTCCATCGATTCTAGCATACCTCCCACTAATATCAAAAGGGACTGGAACCAATATCAAACTTCTTCCTAGAAGGAATATTTAACTAAATGGACCTGGTTGTATGGGGTTGCCGCTTCTGGTTTATGCACTCCTCTCCTCAAGTCGCCGACTATTTTGCCTTCTTGGATTCACTTCATTGCTCAAGAGATCCTTGATGCGATGTTTGAAGAAGACCTTGTTTATCTTTAAAATCTTCCTGAAACGAAGAAGATAGAGATTTTCTTAGACTATTATGGTGGAGACGAAGTGTTACACTAACGAGGTTATGGGAGCCCTTCAACAAGAGAATATGTCTCAGGCTGAAGGCTATGAGGCCTACGAGGGACGAGTGATTAGACTAAAGAACGAGGTTGATGAGTCCCTTTAGCAAACTCTTAATAGGGTGTACGAAGCCTTTGACCAAAAAGTCAACCAAGTGGAGGCACTTCGCCCGAATATTTCTATTCCCTACTTGCAACTTCACTCGTTCATGGTCGTTTAGGATGGCGCATTGGTGGAGGACATCAGTGCAACGTCTCAAGATGGAGAGATTTGATTCCTTGTTAATTGTAATGTAAGCAAACTGTTGTGCCCTTATGTTTCCTTTCTACTTGTATGAACAACGACATTTATTTATCTATCTTTTATGTTTCGACGTTTCTTTTGTGCTTGATGTGATTTATTTAACATTCTTCATGATCTTCTCACTTTATTATCTAGGTTGTTCTCGATTCAGTTTCTCATCTTTAGACCAACTGGTGGTTCCTACCCTACCACGATTGAATTTGAGTGTTCTAATAACTGGGGGCTTGCACCATTAGTAATATCCTCTATGGGCCCTTCTTGAGCAAGAGTCGGCAAGATCCTTGAAGCTTGTTGTTGTCTGTCTCTTTGGTGAAATTCGATATATTCGCTGAATTTATGGTCCTGATTGACGTGAATCGGAGTGATTATCAAACTTAATCACTACACATCCTAGTCGAGTTTCTGCGTGCAATTTATGAAGAGTATGGTCTTTTGCTTATTTTTTTCTTCTTCTCGAGTTTCTGCATGCAATTTATATTTTTCCATCATTGTCACATTAATTTTATTTTTTATAATCCCTTTATTCTTCTTAATTGCAACATTCCCGCAACATATCTGCTTACACTTTCTTTGGCCAAAGAGTAAATATGAGCAAACACATTTTATTTTTCACATTAGTCAACTTATAAATCATTACACCACCGCAGCAAGCCATATGCTTAGTTGACAAAAAAACAAATTGAATCAATTTCAATTCCCTAATGGAACCAACTTTAACATACAAAGGAAATATTCATACAACCAAATAATATCAAACTTTTGACGTGAATATATGCAATTAATACAAAATTCATATATCTTCAACACAAGCAATATATCTTCAACACAGTTTCTCAAGCCACTTTCAATGCCTTCTTGATATCATTCTGTCAAAGATGTGTAACAAAGAAAATTAATTTAACTTATCAAGGATATATAAAAATGCAAAAACATATATAAGAAATTTCATAGAGAAAAAATTAGAGTACCTCAATGGCCAATGGTTGGGTTGTTGGACTATATCGCTGGATCACATGGCCTTTCTCATCAACTAAAAACTTTGTGAAATTCCACTTTATCCTTTTTGATCCCAAACTTCCACATTTTTGCGCTTTCAGGTATTTATACACAGGTGCTGCATCTTGTCCATTCACACGTATCTACACGTTAAAACAAATTATTGCATATATCAGTAATGTCTCATACGTGTAAGTGTATGACATGACACTGACACTGACACACGTAATTATGTTCAATTTATTATTATTGATGTTCACGTGTCAGTATTATAAAAAAAGCATCATATATATGCATATCATACCTTTCCAAGAATGGGATACTCAGCTTTATATGTGTTACATGCAAAGTCTTCTGCCTCCTGACTAGTTCCTGGCTCTTTCCTCAAAAATTGGTTGCATGGAAATGCCAATATCTCAAGACCTAATGACAATCAACAAACAAACATGATTAATATTATTTTCGAAATAAATTTTTTTTTCCGAGTGGTGTCTGTTACATGAATCAAACAACGATATAATTTGCATACCCGTGTCCTTATATCTCGAGTAAAGCTGAGTTAACTGAGTGTAATTGGCTTCAGCAAAGTTACTGTTTTTTTTTAAACATGCATGAGATTGGTTAGCCATGGAAATAAGAAGTTGAGGCACAATAAAAAAGTAGAGTTAGAAAATGAAAATAATAACCATTTTGATGCAACATTAATTACTAAAAGAACCTTCCCCCTATAGCTTCCAAGGTTCACTTCTTTGCCCCTTGCATCCTATCACATTAATCACCACCAACATATGATGTTAATAATCATGATAAAATATTTTTTTGTTAATAATTATTAAATATTTTTGCTTGAAGAAATTATATAGTTATATACCTTGACTTTGAATTCATGAATAGAATTTTCTGAAACTGATTGTGAAGCACCCATTTCTGTGTCTGTCTTCAAGACTTTGGCTTTATGTTTATGTCTTGCATTGTACTACACATTTCAATTATTTATAGCATTCAACAAAAGATTTTAATTCCAACATTTTTCAATTGATTGATATAAACAAGAATCAAATGTTAACCACTATTTTAATGACACTTGATTTTCCTAACAGGACCAGAATCAGTGTTTATTTCATTATTGCATGCGCACTTCATGTTTTTAAAAATATTGATTGGTCAGGTTTACACCCTGGAATCATAACATGGCTACCATGATCTTGGATTTTGGATTAGGATTAGGATCAAAGAAATCTTTAGTTACAAAAATACTAGTTTATTAGGTCGTTTATGATTTTTAATTATAATTCAAAAGTCAGAGCAGAGGATATGCCGCATCAAAATTTTATTACATTTAAATAAAGATCCCCAAGCTAGGAATTTTTTTTATTTTTAAATTTGTATACTATTAAAAAATAAATATGAAGTATTATATATTATTAAAGATTTTTTTATTTTAGTGCTTAATGAAGTATTTTTATTTGTTAATAAAATAATTAAACTCTTAAGACAACTTAATTAATAGTTGGTGTTCAAATTATCAATATCTCATTTATATTTATTCATCTTTAAAAGGATGATGAAGTTTAAGTCACTAAATTACACTTGACAAAAAACATATATTTGTATACTTTGATCATATTTTTTGGAAGCCAATAAAATTCTAAACAATGTCTAAAGCGTTCTCGCTGTTTTTAAGATCGATGTCTAGTTTCCATTATCCAGTTCATTCCTCACACTCTCGCGCTATCATACTAAACTTTAGTTTACTCCTCACTCTCGTGTCGAAACAATAAAGCATGCAATTTGAAAACTAAAACCAAAACAATTATATATTCATAATTCTGCGCCTATAGTTTTCTACCGAGTCCCGTCGGTGACGACGGTCCTCATACACCAGTATCGAATAAGATTATCCAGACATTATTATGATTAAAAACAACACAAACGACATAATCAAATTTAAGGAAAGCATGGCATGCAATATTGAAAAGGGAAATAAATAGAAATAAATTATTAAGTAATAAAAACCTGAGAAAAATAGAAAATACAAACTGAGATTAAAATGTAGGTAGGCTTGTTCTTTATCCAAGAGTACAATGAAAATGAAAGAAAAATAAATGTGACAATCCCTCGATGTGAGTTATTGTCACTTCTACAAGTAAATATATGCCTAGAACTATGAAGCAATTTCGACAGCGCTTCCGCACAAATTTGATATCGATAAAACTAACCCAAAGGTCATATATATATATATATATATATATATATATATATATATATATATATATATATATATATATATATATATATATATATATATATATATATATATATATATATATATATATATATATATATATATATATATATATATATATATATATATATATATATATTGGTAATCACCCTTGGTCGTGTTAGCAGTTGGAGGGAAAAGAAAATCCAAATAACTTCTTGAAAACTTCTTATGGTGTAACCACTGCTGTCTACGAAGCAATGGTGAACGCCGTTAGGGAAATGGCAAGCACCATTGCCTTCTTTATTAAATGACGTGGCGGGAAAGGGGGTGGAGAATGCCATATCTGAAAACCAGACAGGATCATCTCTTTTTGCTGCTCTTTTACTCCATTTCTGGCTCGATCACGAATCTGCACGAGAGCAAGCTGATAACTGTAAAACAAATAAAAACGAAGTAAAATGAGATAAAACATGATAAAATGCGGATGATTAATACGCGCAATGAGCCTAAAAATATGATCCAATTTCTCATATCAGGATGGTGAGGTTGTAAGGTCTTTAAATACAAGGAAAGTTACCTAGGTTATAACAAAACCTTGCTTGTAACAACACTTCAATCAATGAAAGTGTTTTTGGAAGAAGATAATATCACCCTTAGTAACAGTGAACCACTCACCATAAGAGAGATACACGTTATTCTTTAACTTTCTCTCTTTCCAAGCTTTAACTTCTTAAAAAAATGTTACAACATTTGAAATGACATATACCATGCTATTGAAAATGATTCTTCTGAGATTGCACACTCCACTAGGCAAAAGAATATAGTTGGTAGACTCTCTAAACATTTACTACAATAATTCATTAGTAGTGCAATTCTAAAATTACCCCTCATATTATCAGTGTAAATTGCACCTCAAGTCATGATGAAAATACTTCTAGATCTTCTTAACCATACCAAGTTTAGGATTGTCAATACTTTCCTGTAGCAAAACCCCTGGCATACTAATGAAAGAACCAATGAATTTGTTCTGCAAGCAGAATAAACTCCTTGTACCTTGATTGTAGTAGCATGCCACACTACAATGTCATGACATCCAGTTTAATATTGCACTCTTTTAGTAACCAGCCCAATTAAAAAAATACATCTTCCTTCAGCAATGTACCTAATCTTTAAAGATATATGATAATTCAATTAATTCTAATCCACGTGACCAGAATATCTCCAATAATACAATCTTCTTTTGACTTGGCCAATAGCTTTTTACCCCTAAGACTCACAATCATTCAATATTCTATCTCTGAAACATCTGATGATCATAGACCAAAATAAAATCCAAATAATGAACTCCCTCTTACAATTCTTTTTTGAGAGCTTCCTTATTCAGTTCCTCGTAGCCCTTTAGAATCTTTTACATATTGGAGTAACAAATTGTTGTGATGATGTTCCAACATCTGGCTGAACATTAGTACCTTTCTCAATGAACATATTACTGATTTTGATCCTGAATTTACTCATCACTAAAAGTACTTCTCTCAATAAAGTAACTCTGAAACTTACCTTGTTCTCATTCAAGGGGTAGATAAGACCCTTTGAAGACTTCGCAGATAATAGATTCACTTTGTTAAAGGACACAAAAGAGAATCATATACACTTTTCTATCCACCACGACCCTCACCTCGCATTGAACCAATCAGAACCATAGAATAGATTCTAGAGCTTTTGCAACTGTCTAATGTTGCACCTTCTGGTGTAAAATCTTGACTTCTTCTTTCTTGAGCACCAAGTAAAAGGATAAACAACTAAATACATGTTAAATCCACCAATATAAATTATTATTAAATGCTTAGAGTAACTTCAAACTTCTCATTAGAGACATGACATTCTTCCTTGATGACATATACCTTCAGACCTTGACCACATAACTTACTTATGTATATCACAATAGTCATTATTCCTTAAGTAAGAAGAAAAACCAATTACCAAAACTTAGAGAATCCATCCTGAATTCTTTAGTTATCCAATGTCCTTAAAACTTCCATTTTAGCATCATCAACAAAGTAACACTGGTTGGAATGAGACTTAATCAAACCACCAGAACCACTTTTACTGCAGTACAGTGTCTGGAACAGTTAGTGTTGAAATACCAATCATCTTAGTTGGAGATCTAAGGAATGTATGAGAGATAAGGCATTTATCACCTTACATGAGTATTAACCACTTCTTGGTTAGACAATACTGAACTTGACCTTTGAGAAAGTAACCTAAACTATTAAGATCAACTTTTCGTAGAAGATATATCTTCAGTGCAAGTAAATACCTGTAGCATGAGTAATCTGATGTCCACCATATTGGTAAGACATTAATATTAACATCCTTGAATAAGCTTGTATTTTGATGAAATAGCCTTTTGTCACTTTGAATTTTCCCTTTGCCTATCATAGCTTGAAAACCCAAACACTTCCAATAATCTTTCCACTTGAGAAAACTTTTTTGACATAACTGAACTATCCTTACAGACTTGATCTTTGATATCAAGTTTTTAGGATTCATAGAATCACTTCATCTTGCAAGTTATAGATGGAAAACACTTCTTCATTCTCTTAATACACAAGATCGGAAATAAATCACCTTCGAATTCTTCATGGTTGATAACACCTTTTATTCTAGATACACAGATATTTGAATAAAACATCCAGCACATCATGAAATAATTCTTCAAAACATAAATCTTCATAGAAATCCATCTTCCAATTAAACCAGATATAGAAAACCCATACAGTTGCTCTTGAGATAAGTATGGCATTCTGATCTAGAAGGATCCAAGGTCTTCACACTCCTATGAATTCTTAGACGTTGATCAATACACCAATTACAGCCTTTCTTTTAGCATCATAGACTTGTTCAAGTCATCACAAATGTTATGACATGTGGTCATGACATACTGTCTAATTTCTTCAACACATGATTAGATTGCCTTCTAAGAGACACAATAGTTATAAGAAACCCTTTATCAGAAAACTAAGAAACAAGCTTTAACAGATTTGGAAACAAAAGCCATGCTCTTGTTCTTCTTCAATAATTGTAACTTCCCTATCAAATATCTTGAATAGAGACCTTAGTATCTTATTCTTGATCATGCTTTCTTCATATCTCTTTTCTCCCAAAACACTAAGATGTGCCTTTATGAGTGGACTTGAGAATTTCCCAAGTATCTTTGGCCATAAATAATAATGAGTATGAAAAAGAAACTTATCAATTTGATTAATTATGGTATTGACACCTTAAAGGTTACATAGAGACAAATCATTCTCTACTCTTCAATCTCTTTAGAACTAGGATTCTCATATCCTGATAATTCTTCAACGTCTGTTGTCCATTGATAACTAGAATACAATCATTCTAGTCTTCTATAAGGAACAATAGTACCAAAAAAATTACTCCCTAAAGCTCACCCAATAGACCAGGGTGCTTGATATGATACCAATTGAAATTCTTCTTGTTGTACCCCAAAATTTTTCCTCCCATTTCTCAAGAATTTTCTCACAAGATCTCTATTGATTCAAGACTACACAAGGTTTGATCAGCTCAAGATACCTCCTCAAACACTAATGACTCAAAACTAGGGTTTGAGTTTGCACAAGTACAAATGGAATTTTAATGCCCCATATAGTTTCCATGGATCATATTGGGCTCTCAAG